GGATGGGTCCGATTTTCGCGCCTTCTCCCAAAATGTTCCTCCTCATTTTTGGCCCTCATTTGCTAACTGAGGAATGAAGGCCAAAAAGCTAATGAACAGCGAACATTTCCAAGAATATCAACTGCCAACAACTGGCACACAAGTACCAAAGCTAATTACTCAGCAAGTGAACCGAGATGTGCACTTCCTCCATCCCCTCCCTCATTAAGCACTCAGCTGAAAAAGGTACGCCTGGAGGCACGAGCCCTCCCTCTGCTAGTCCCACCCCTTCCCCTCCTGCAACGTGACTCAATAGTTACTGAGGTTATAAAGCATCTCTTCACAGACACGGTGAGTAATGGAAGTCGTCTTCATTATGAGAACACTACAAAATAATTCGATGGGCTAAAAAAGAGTTCTCGAGTGGGCGAACGATATGAACCCCCAATGGCCTGAGGAGGGTCAGGACGGCGAGGCCACACAAATTATTTGGAAAGGCGTTACAAAAAAGCCATCTGATGAGGAGCAATACACCGATGCTATTTAAAGAAGTCGACTTGTACTAAGCGGATTAACAAAAATCGATTTCTCAATAAAACGCCGGGAAAAAATAATCGTGCGCTAATATTTCTGTAAAATGGTACTTTGAGAGGAAGGCCAAAATTCGTCATCATGATGCTCCACTGAATTCTCCCAAAAAGTGCCAGATCTATAGCTATCAGTATACTTGAACAACTGGACTTAGCTTGATCACATGTAAATCGCCCGCAGAATTTCGCGCCCTTGTAACCAATTCTAACAGCATGCTAGATTTCGAACTTCATTTCCATATCATCTTCAGCAGCTACATGAACTTTACTGACCAGCGGGCTAGAATAACGGTGGCTTACTCAGCTGCAGTTAAACCGAATGAACTAAATTTTTTTAAATAATGCCTGCCAGCCGTCGGTAAAAAAAATTTTTTGCAGATCGTGTATGAGACAGGCCGAGCCGATTCCAGACGAGTTTTTGTGATTGCCCAAATTTCATCGGTGTTCCGTATGGGGTGAACTGCTGTGATAACTGATTGCTACTGGACAGACGGAACACGCTGCGAGCCGCTAACATACACAAATTGTGTGCTTTTATAGTGGCCAGAATATGCAGGGGAATGAAGTGATAAATTTGATATAGCAATAGTGTGATTGGTTTTCCCGTAAATTCATTTATTTCACTGATAAACTAACTTTCAACGAAAACGGTTTTTGTGATTTGTCGACTTTTAAGAGATTTAAAAAAGAGACAGAGAGAGAAACTTGCTTGGCGACGGACGGCGATAAGCAACTGGCTTGTCCGGGAGGGTTAATGAATGGGCAGTACAAATCAGTATGATGAATAAGAAAGCAGCAAATGTTAGCACTGCTCCAACAAACGGAGCAGCTCGCAGGACCGACGAATGTGAGTTTGGAGCAATCACCGTTGCCTTCACAACGATTCCCAAAAACACAGTGTTAGCTAAAATAAAAACGGTCACGATATTTTACCGGACTGATGAGAGCAAAACGAACGAACGCTACCGGTAGCGACAAAAACACATATGAATTTGCATAATTGAACCCCGCTTCGCAGAGGGCACCAATAAGTACCGGAAAAACAAACGAAGCAATGGACGGATGAAGGGAAGTGGAAAAAACACTTGGCCCAAAATTAACACAAATGAGGATTCAGGAGGTAGCAAAAATAAAAAAAGCGAGAATGGGACGAGGGAAAGCTCAGTGGATCAAGCGTTTTTGCTAAAAACTTTTGTATTAACGTGTACAGCCACCATGCGTCAGTGTACTTCCAAAAGCAGTACCGTGGCGATCTTTTGGTCACTTCGATGACCACCATATCCCAGTCTCTTCTACATGCTTCACCCTTGAATTATCGTAAAATCAGTCTGATTTTTTACCTAGGCGCTGCAGGATCTCGACGCTGCACTCACAATATTTGTTACAAATTATTCCTCAGTAAATTTATGTCTCTAGAAACTTCTAGCACCTGACATTATTCGTTTTCGAGCAAGAATATTGGCCTAAATACCAGGACGCAGAGAAGTTTGACAACAAATTCCAGGTTGTTCACCCCCCGTAGATGGTCGGAATTTGAGCTGCCAAAATTCAATACCCGGAAGCAGACAAACACGCACACATACACAATTTCGCCATGATGCATTCTTGGTTCATAAAAAGACAGACGGAAATGTGGCCACAATAAATGACGAATACAAAATGAATAGAAAAAATTTAACTGCTGTTGAAAATATCAGAAGATAATTCGATTTCAGTTAGAATATGTCCCAACTCTTTGTGTGCCACGAATTTAAACAAATATGAGAAAACTTTCAAAAATTAAACACCGCATATTCCTCAGAATTGAGCACCCGAGAGTAACCATCGAAAACCGGCTGCATATGCGCCATTTCCAGGGCGAACAAGCCTACTCACTTTAGTATATCGGAATTGTTTATGAACAAGAACGGACGGGATAGAAATTACATTGAACGGGTACCATGCACGATTATTAACCTTGTTAGTACACCAGGAGGGCATCAAACGAGCCACCGTTAAAACACATTAGGGCCTGTGTGTATGCTTTGATGTGTGGGTGAAGTGATGGATGATTACTCGTACACAGCGGCCGCACCAGGGCAGCCGATGCGATCATGCGTTTTGTGCAATTCCGTTCACCAAAAAATTGCCTGCTAATGATTTTCACTGCCCCGCCGAAATTTTCACGAGGCCGTAAGTGGTACTCCGACGCGCGGGAAGCTGGATTTAAAATTACAGGGTTGTATGTGGACAGAAGACATCACCGTAAAATTTAGTTTCTGACTTTTATGGTCCTCGAGATAATAATTTCCCTGCCAAAATTTTCATGGGGCCGTAGGTGATACCCGACAGTGTAAGAACGCTGAGTTTAAATTTGCGAGGTCGCACGTGGGTAGGGGGTTATTATACTAAAATTTCAGCCTCGTATATTTACTGGTTCCCGAGATAAAAATTAACCCGCCAAAACATCCAGGAGGCCGTAGGTGCTACCCGAAAGCGCGGGAACGCTGAATTTGAACAGGCAAGATCGAGCATGGGCAAGGGGTTATTTTAAAATTTCAGCTTCGTATATTCCAGTGGTTCCCAAGATAATAATTTACCCGCGAAAATTTTCACGGGGCCGTTCGTGTTACCTGCGGGCAGGAGAAGGCTGAGTTTAAATTTCTGGATCGCGTGTGGGCAGGGGACACGTCCACAAAATTTCAGCCTTCTAGCTTCCGTGGTTCCCGTGATAATAATTTTACCCGCCCAAATTTTTACGGTGCCGTACACGTTACCCGCGAGTACGGGGAGGCTGAATTTAAATTTGAGGGGTGGGTGGGGAATTTTCAGTTTCCTAGCTTTTATGGTTCCCGAGTTGAAAGTTGCTGCGGACACACAAACACACACACAAACGCACACACGGGCAACCCCGTGACAATATGCGTTTTGTACTGCTGTTACACAGCACAAAACGCACAAAAAATCAGATTGCAGGTCATATTTCAACCAAGTTAGTGTAATGACAGTTAATACAAGTAAACACCCAGTGTCGCCTGTGGAATGCTCGAGTAACGCACAGTTCCCATCAGTGCTCGCCCACTTATGCAAGTAACGACTGTTTTTGGGTGCAGTACTAATATCTCAGCAGCAGAATCCTGGACAAAAAGCACTTATTCTATGGTAGGCTTTGGAGAGGCAGCTAGACTGATGCAAGCAGCACCTGCAGTTTATTGCTGCAAATTCCCC